AGATCGTGGTTGAAATGATTGCGATAATCACGCGTCTCAAGCTTCGTTATCTCGCTATTCGAGTGGCGAAAGTGCTCTGCAACTGGAAAACAATGCCAAACACAGGACGTATTTTGCGGACCACTCAGTCGCGGGAACCGTCTTTGAAACTCACAAGGAGCACCGATTTCTACTTGTTCGCCTGCCAGCTTTCTCGGTTTGTGGAGAATGGCTTGGCGCTGCGCCGAACCCGGCCACCTGAAACGCCCCAGCATCCTTGACGAACAAGACTGTAGGATGGTGATCGCTAGGGATAGGCCATATTTGCAAAAAAAATACTGATTGAGGGCACAGTCAACAATGGGAGAATGAGGGTGGGGCACATTCAAATATGGAAACGAGGCTAAGTTTGATGGATCCATCCACAAGAAGAAAAAATCGTCGAAGATGATGAGGAAGCCTTTAGTTTCAGAATGAAAGCTTACTTACTGATATACTAACGAGATAGCTCTTATTTGCTTTCACGTCATTTTCACCATTAGTACATTCCTGCTTTGTCGAACTCTTTAGTGACTGTGAGGTGGGCGGAGACCCCGTGCCTGTTGGGGAGGGCGCTATGAATTAAAAGTTCCTGGAGCATTTTCCATGAATTCAACATTAGGAAAGGACACGTGAGCCGGCTGCGCCTTCGAAGCTTTAGCGAAAGGAGGGGGAGGGGACGTCAGCTAGATGCACCAGACGTATGTCTTCTTGCGCAGATCTTTCAGCATCCTTCTCATGTTGAAAACCGTTTTCCATCACTTGTTGAAGAAAATCCATCGGATACTCATCCATCTCTGAGAGAAGTTAAGAAGGGAAGATGAGGATGTAGTTTTGCTTTGTAGTTCGATGATCAGGCGTATGATTTACAAGCCAAGTGTGTGCAGGCTCCGCCACTTTCCCTTACCTGGCCTCCGTTGTTTTTATTAGGTCGGATAGAAAGTCCTGCGACACTTTGGCCAAAATTTTTGACCCAAATTCCTTCCACTAAAAAACACCTCCAATCTACAAGGTAACCGCAGTTGATGACTAGGACTAGTGCCCTTCTTTTGCACAGCTTCTCATTTTCCATTCTCATAGAACTACGGCAACTATGATAAAAAGAAGAGGTGGACCTCATTTTCGAGTAGACGTCGATTTTCGGAATTTTTGCTTTTTAAAGGATTGCGATAGGGATCAAAGGGCGACGTGTAATTTAGAGGCCTGCTAACTTGATATATTAAATGGGTACCGTCGATTCTCTGATCGAGATCAGATGAATCTTTTGGGGTGAGAAGTGATCCCCGCATGCGGTCTTCGCATTGCCGAGTACTGGAGGAAAATTGAGTATTCCTGAATGAATCAAGCGTGACGTCATTCATGTTTTGAAATTTATTAAAGTGGACTTGGTCCTTACAGCTGTGCTAGTATCCAGCAATACCGTGTTGAAGTCCCACCAATAACACACTGAAATTTTTATTCCGATGCACATCTGTTTTTGGTTTAAAGCCAATCTACTTTTCTGTTTGAGAGATTCATTGAGGGGACATGATGCATGATTTGCAAGTCCGCCCACGCGCGTACCAACAACAAGATCCTCGACAATGTTCTTCCAAGTGTGTGACAAGGCAAACGAAGAACCATTCACGGATCATGCGGTATGACTTTCATACCGAATGACCGTTGAGTAGCTGGTCCAAACTATTAGGCATCAGGAAAAATTTTGTTCACGATAACCGCTATTGCGAGAGTAAGCCATGAGCATTATCAGTTAGGGAACCCAAGAAGGTTCCAATGGACTGGTTGTTAGCTGTGGCGGCGCCTTCAATAAGCGTTGAGTAAACGCCGTCGTCTGTGCTGGACGGGGCGATTATACATTGCCTACCTCCGAATTAAATAAGTCCAGCTCGGAAGCGCTGATGCAAAAGCTACCCTCTGCCATGGCAAGCGATATCCTTCCTGAAGACAACGCAGGTGTTAGCTTCTTCGACTACGGCGTAATGGCCCTAAAGGAACTCACAAAGTACCTCGATCTCTGAGGGACTTTTAAGCTTTGAAAACTTCCACAAAGTCATGATATACCCATGTGCAGAAACCCCAGAGGACAGTCTCCACTAATCAGGGATAAAAACATCCAAAATGATTTTTGGTCATTTTGTAGAACAATATCAGCCAGCGAGCAATAGGGCGGTTTTCACGCAATGCTTCAGGTGTTCTGAAATGCACCCTCCATCAAGCACTAGTTCAAGGTAGTACTCCGTCTTCAATCAAACCATCACTCAGGAAGCTGTTGATTGGTGTAGTTGATATCGTCGCAATCAGTCGTAGCGGAGACAGGAGGGGCGGAGTGAGGCCACCCCAGCTACTTTTTCCACCAATAGTGATCGATTGGTCAACGATACAGGAGGAAAACATCTAGAGGTAGCTAACGCAGGGGTTGGCTTCATTCCATATCTCCTGACACCACGGCTCATTCCCCTTCCCCTGCCTGACACAGGCTCTAGTGACTGCTGCAACTGTTTAGGCCCCACAAATGCTGCATTACTATTTTAAATGGAATCCAAATGCCATGAGCTTCCTGAAAATGAAATCATAGGTAGTGACATTTCCCATTCAGGATAGAAAAACTAGTGTGGCAGGCGAATCTCACTTTTCTTTCATAATGATTGCGTTCTTTAGATGTCTCATTAATCCAGGGAGCTGGATCTATAAGAAATGCTCTTGCATCTACTCTTTGAAAAAAAACTTCTGATTACAAATGTGGCTCCAATCCGCCTGCTACGTCTAATAACACACTTAAGTCCTAACGTGTATTTCAAAGTACAGAAGGCAAAGATGTGTCGCTTAGTGCTCTCATTCTGACTGGAAAGATACGAACACGATGGTCTTTATTGTAGTAACCGTATTCTGTAATATGACAAATTCATTACATATCATATCGCAAATATACAAATGGGAGAAAGAATGCTACGAATCGACAGGAGTCTCTGTCGAAATCACCGAAAGTGATCGTTTCAGTGCACGCTTAGCTGATTCGACTTTTTTGAGGGTGGCTTCAGATGAAGATCTCTGCAAATGAATCAATTCATAGAAAGAAGTTAAGGTTACGTAACCGAAATACTACAGAGGAATGGCAAAAAAGTCACGACGTTTGAAGCGCGAACAACGTTATGATAAGAAAGTAAGGATAAAAATGTCTTTCTAGGCGAAAACTGATTTTTTTAAGCTTTGATCCGATAATACCACTATCAAATTCAATAACACGATTATGATTGTCCGTCATAACCTTCTAGACGTTCGTTAATGGAAGATGTGGCGCTGTTCGATTGAGGAAAAAGAGGCATTTCACGCTTAGCTCCTTCTGCTAGTTCCTGTTAACCAACAGATCTGACTTTGGTGAGACCCGTAAACTCCTGCTATGCTGCGAAATGGCACAAGTGAGCACTTTCCTTTCCAGGAATCTACAGGTCTTCACAAGCTGGCATGTACAAACTTCGCTAAATAGTATTCCATGCTCCCACCAAGCCAAACTGCGCCAAAGATTTTGCTTGGAAGTTGTGATCTGGCGTCCCATTAGCGTGGGTCGTTTATTTCTTTGCCCTCCCAAACTCGGTAATCAAGGACACTGGCATTAAGTGCCACGCTTGCGTGTCTCGCTTTCATCCCGTACTCAACGCTTTTCATTCCAAGAAGGCAAGCAATTTGCTGGCGCCATGCGATGCTGCCCAGTGTTGGTGCAGTGCGACGTTCTCATGATGGTACATTCGACAACATCACGGCAGGATATCGTCCTCGAGTTGTTTGATGCAACAGTCAGCTTCACCTTTAGTGGGGAGTCTACGAAAACAACAACGTTGTTTCTAAAGCCTTCAACAAATTCCGGCCCACACAATCAGACCCGCTCACTGGTCGACCTTGGGTGACTGTCGCGCATCAGTATGAACCTCCAGCTTCTTCAGGGTGGTACAGAGGCAGCCGTTGTCCCTATCTTTCGGAGAAGAGTACAAAAAGGAGGTATCCTTCGCGAAACACGAACCCATCTTAAAGTCCTCTTTTAGCTTCGGCAGCTTCCCCAATACCGGCGATTTCCTCGCAGGGCTCCACTGATTGTGAGTGTGCACCCGTACAAAAGAAGGGGCGACGAGCAGCAGTAAGAGTATTTGAAAAAGCGACTCCAGACACCTACATGGGTAAATGATTCTTCAAAATAGGGCAAACAGAGGGGAGTGAGATTCTAGTGCGCTCGAAGCATTTTCACCGAGCATTATTTGCTCCTGGGGATAAGCCTCTGAGTCTTTGGCCATGGAACGCTGTCGAAGCTGTATGACGTCTTGGGTCTTCCAGACTCAGAGAGCCTTTCCCAATTAGCTGCTCGAGGGATACGAAAAATTGAAAAGTTGCACAGCTGTTTATAGCGGACGCAAATCCCGTGGGCGTTCTCCAGTGCGATTGGAGACGTTTCGTTTTGATGAACCGGAAGGGAAGTGATAGAGCTGCCCCCACTACTGATATCAAATTCTTCCCTCTGAGTTACATATTCTTGAG